CTTTGTTGTTAAGTAGTGGTTCTCAACTTGGATGTACATGAGTATCACCTAGGGAACCTATAAAAGAATACTGATGTCTCCTTCCTCTCTAGAGATTCTAATGTAACTGGTCAGGGTGCCATTTATAAAAGCTCTGCAGGTGACTGTAATGTGTTGCCAAGGCAAGGAACCACTACTCTGGGATCTTGCCTCTGTCCAAAAAAAGAAAAAGCTTATTATCTTTTCTAATTTACTTGGATGAGAAATGCTTTTTTACAAGTCTATAGTTTAATAGATGCAAAGATTAAATTCTCTGTGAGGTTACTACTTTTTTAGTTTGAATTTTAGGGTTTGAGTACATAGTATCTTCTATTCTGATGATTAGTTCAAGAAGTTTATTGGTCATTAGTGAAAAGAATTTAAAGATATGCCTGAATATTACTTTAATATAGAGTAGTTTTAGTTCCTGATATTCTAAAAGAAAATTGTGCTACAATTCATAAAGATGATGTCTTCACACTCAAAAAAAGAAATAATTATTTCCCTAAACATTTCTTCCAAAAGATATTCGCCTTTGCATACAGAAATTCACATGAGGTGCTGAAATAGAAATCTTTCCAAATTTTTCCTAATTTTAATTTTGATCGAATGACCAAAAGGGCCAAAACCAACATAAAGGCCACTTGCCAAAAAATGAATTATATATCTTAACATATTAGGACTGAAAAGGGGGACATTAATTACGTAATCAGTGATGAATAATTAAAATCACGTACAAGTATCATATACAACTTTAGGAAAATCTGTTCAACTATTTACATAAAATAGGTAATTTTCCAGAAAATTATGGAATATAACTTATGGAATATAACTCAAAGAATAAAAGAGAATTTCTGAAAAACAAACAACACTTGAAAAGCAGAACCAGTATGAAAAATCTACTTTCCTTGAAAGACACCACACCCAGGCAATTTTCTAGGTGAGTTTCACCAAACATTTAAGTATTAGATATTCCTTTACTGTTTCAGAGAGAAGAAAAAGAAAAAGCTAGCCAAATTGCTCCACTGGGCTATTATAACCTTGATGTAAAATTTAGAATAGTAAAAGTAAGTAAAATTGTGTACCAATCTAATAATTGAGCAAATTGTGAAGCCTCCTTCTATCTAAGTAGAACCAATCATTCCCCATTGGCTCCTACTATAGCTTACACATATTCTATTCACAGCACCATTTAACACTACAGTGTACTTACACATTTTCATATTTGTCTTTCATTGGTAGATACTAAGATCTTTGTAGGCAGAGATTTTTTGCATTCATATCCCATGGCATAGAATATAGTGCTTTCTTACTCCATGGTTATGCTAAATAGTTGTTGAATGGTGTAGAAACAGAAAGGGAAGGGCCTTTCAAGTAGAAATAGCAGTAATGTGTACAGGCAGGAGGTGAGAAATAATGAGGCAGTGAGTAAACCATTTGGCTAGAACACAGATTCGTATGAGGAAATACCACTTTCTGAAAAGGCCAGTCAAGGTGGGCTTTTCAGGGCTGAGGCTAATTTTAGTTTCAGTATCTACTAAAAGGCATTTGAGCAGGCAATGGCTAAATCAGATGTGTACTTCAGAATCAAAATGAGCACTTTTTAGAGCTGTCAGGGACCTGGCGGTGACCTATCTGGTTTAAATTCATCATTTTAAAAAGTATAAAACTAAACTCAGAGAGAGTAGGTGATCTACCCAAGGTCAAAGAACATAGAACTAGCTAAAAGCAGGTAGAAGCTTTGAGGTAGTAAACTTGATTAAGGTCACACAGTTAGAATATGGTCCAAACAACAGGCAAATCCAGGTCTGTTCAACACCAAAGTCCATGACCTAGATGACACCAGGAGATGAGGAAGGTAGACCATATGTATACCTTTTCAGAGGAGTCCCAATTTCATGTAATACACTCATTTCAAATAAAGGTCATTTGTGCAATGTATAACTAAAGGCTGATTTAATTATTTTTACTTTTATTATAAGACATAACATTTAACAGAATTATAATTGGCTTTATTATATTGTCATTTTAATGAAGTCTTTTACACAATTAGCTTCAAGACCTAAGATCAATAAAATGGTGGGCATGAACAGGAAGTAAATAGGAACAAAGCATTTCCTTAGCCTCACAAAATCCATATCTAGAGCACTGTAAGTGATTTTAGTTACTACAATAGAACTGGAAAAGTTCCAGAAAAAGGTTAATTATTAATTAATCAAGCAATCAAAAAGGACTCTTCAGTCTTAAATAATTGCCTGAAAGCTTATAAAACAAGAAAGATAGGTAGTGATAGGAAAAACCTAGACTTGTTCATTATATCTCAGAATACTAATTCTGAGAAATACTTCTTAAAGCCTAAAAGATAATAGACTTAGAGAAACTAGAGGAATATACTATTTTACTAAGGCAAAAAATTTTTTTAATGAAGGGTGTCTTTTTTTAAGTTATAAAAAAAGTAAAACATAATTTCATACTCAAAGTACTGATACAAGCTGAAAATATCCATAGGTTCACAATAATAAATGATGATAAAACTATTGTCTGGAATAGATAGGGTGAGACATTGTCCTTGCTTCTTAGATTAACCCTTTTGGTGCTCTTTTCTAAGGCAGGATACTAGATTAAGAGGCCACTGCTCTATAGCTCTCCTTATAAATTCTTACCCCAGCCACTGATTGGCACCACAGGGCTGTACACAAAATAGGCATTTGACTGTTTGTTAACTGACTGACTGAAGTTTAAAGAAGGTGACTGATAACATAGCTTTCACAGACATGATATCATGAGCAAACAGTAATGATAATGCTGATAATGATAACAAGCATCACAATAGTGATCAATGATAAAAGAGTTTACTATATATAGGTATTGCTCTAAATGCATGTATTAACTCATTTATCTTCGTTAACTCTATTCTTCAAATAATAAAACCACAACACATAGAGGTTAATAACTAGGTCAAGGACCGAGAGCTCCGTAGTGGCAGGGGTGGGAACTGAACCCAGAAGCCTTGCTCTAATCATTGTGCTATTCAGGCCAGCCCTGGAATTGTCTATATATCCTCTAGATATAATACTTTCAAGGACCCCATTTCATATTCCTTTTTTGAATATTTGGACAAATAAAGTATAAGTTGTAAAATAGCATTTGCATTTTTTCAGGAAAAAAAATACTAGTAATCCTATTTTATTCGCTTTTAAATAAAATGTATATATTTTAGATTTACCTCCAATCTTCCTTGAGTATAACCCAGGAGCAGCAGATTGGCTCTGTCTTTCTCAGAAGAAATGGGGGCCCAAGGCCAAGCATCATCACTGACCAGTGGCCACCAGCAAACAACTATATCCTGAGCACAATTGATAGCTAGATGACGCTCTGTTGTCCTGTTTACTGGGCCAGGTATTTCGTAATAGGAAATCTAATGGTTAAAAAAAAGCATACCAGAATAATTTTTTCATGCAAAATCCTCAGAGTATTATAAAAATTAAAGCATCTGTAAATGTAGATAAATGCAAGTAAATACGCATGTTAAACGGAGGTGTCAGAATTTACTAAATTCTTTTGACACATGTATAAAAAAAGACATATGTTCAAAATTCTCTCCATTTTTAGCAGAGGAAAGGAAAAGGAGAACTGTGAGTTAGGGAGGAATTGGCTGTAGCAATCCTAATCGATACCAAAATGTACAGTCATGGTTGCTTGACAGCATCGACCTACACGTAGGATTTAAGACCAGCTATATTAAATGACAAGTTCAGTACTGCTGACCAAGAGTGTCTGACTACTGTTTAAGACATAAAACGTTAACAATGACTGACAATAATAAAAGGAAAAACAACTTGAGGCAAATATCACTTTAAAAAATATGACACATATACACATATATTCTGCATAAAAGGATAAGCTACAGCATCATGTGTAAAAGTTTATGCAGCTTCTGAGAATTATGATTCTCTTTCTTAGGAAGGATTGTAGAATTTATTATTCAAACTATGTTATTTTGGAACATGGTTATTTGAAAACATAAGCACGACACCATCTGGGTGACACATGCCAAGGAAATATAGATTGCACCGTATTTCTGCTTAAGGAATTAATGGAAGGTTGATAGCTTGGAAGAAAAAAAAAACTATCTTGCCATTGCTGGTCAGCAATAATCGAACCACTTTCTGGGGATTAAGCGCATGGCTAAGCCTACTGGACCAGACACTAGCAAAGGGCAGGGGGTCTTCTTATCAGAGAAATGCTTCTGGAGCCAGTCTCACTACATGACAGATTGCTTTCATATTCCTGTCTGCAAGGCAACAAAGGATGGCAGTAATGCGATAATGCCAGAGTGCAATGGGTGTTAAGAACCCGTTGCATTTATGTATTGTATTTAGTAAATAATCAGGCTCATCCAAATTGTGATCTTACCACTCAACCAAGGCCATTAAAATCAAGGTTAATGCTTTAATAATCCTCTGCTATTTTTTTTTTTAATATGGTCAAAAGGAACCCCTTTCTATTTGCATGGCCATAATATTATTGACCTCTTCATCCTCTGAATGCACATCAAAAGGAACTGAAATCAAAGTAATTACCAGTGTTGTTCTCTCATGGTAAACATTTAACTCCTTGCACTGTACCTTCACTGTTAAATAAATTGAATTGGATTTTTAAATTGTAGACAGGAAAACTTGTTAAAGAGCAATAGTTTCAGGATATTTATCTTGCAATTTTCTTTGCCAAAATTATTTCAATCTAAAAGAACTGAATTATTGTACAGTTATAAAGAAAAGCAGAATTATAATACTCTACACTACTTGCTTGTTTTAAAATACAAATGGGCAATGACAGACAACACAGATGCACTTCATGCTTTGAAGTCAAATTCTTATATTTAAGCTCTCGATATCATTATTTTTATTAGTTATCTTCTAATAAAAGATAGTGGGATTACTAAGTCCTTAAAAATATACATATTTTGATCTCCTACCTGCCGTGTAAACATGTTGAATTTCTACTTGAAGAAATAGAGTTAAAACAAGAAACTGGCACTTTCATTCCTCACCTAATGCAAATCATGCATGTTACCTGAAATTTCATGTTTCCTGTTTTAATGGCATCAGTATTCTATCAAGACAGTCAACAGGTCAAGTAAAATGAAGAAATTTCTTAAAATAGCCTTTCAATTGACAAAAGGCAGTTTTTACTAAGTATTAAATATCTATATTTAAACACTGAACCAGAAAATGAAATCCATGGGCATTCGAAAGGTAAGCAGATTACTTCTCTAATGTATAAAAATGACATAGTGTGCCTTTACCCTAATTTCTCAAATCCAAAGGCAGAAAGAATAAACAAATAAGTAACTGCCTTACTTAAGGTATAGGGGCCCATATACTAGGTCAATTTTCCACATCTTTTCATAAGAAAAGATGACATCCTGACAGTCTCTCTCTGTTCTCATTGACAGGTAGTTACTATTTACCACACTATTCATCAAACCTAACATGGAGAAATTAATCATACAAAATTTATATGACAGCATTAGAAACACTTACTCAAAATAGTTTAAATTAATGTCCACTGGTGCATCTCAAAGAACAATATTAATAAATAAACAACATTTCAAGTAAATCTATAGTTAGCTATTCTGGAAAATAACATCTCATTAAAAATGTTAATACCAATTTTTGTACTAACCAAAATATAATACATGAGTACCACTGATTTCCAGCTAAAGAAAATCAATATTATACGAGTTACAGAAGCTCAACAAAGCTGGCAAACGTAACCAAATTGTAGTTTATTACCACAATGAAAACCTTATTTAATATATTTTATCCAATGTTAAAATATTTTTTATAAAAATAAATGTTCTTATTAAATAAAATTAGATCCTCCTTCACATCACTACCACCTGAATTACAATAAGAAATAATCCCAAAGAGCAAAAAGTTAGGTTAAAAAAACTACTTTTTTAAAAAAACACATAGTTTCAAGCCACAAAGCTGACTTCTAAAAATTTTTGCCCTTACTATATACTCTAGGTATGGCATAAATGTGCATCTTTTTTAAGGAAGTTGTATATCAGCTCTGTTCCCAGTGAACAGTGAACTGTCTCAAATCCACGTCACAGAGGCTGGATCAATCTTGCAAACACAAGTCATTGCTGAAAAGAGGCCTTGAACTGAAACCGCCTGGAAAATGTATTAGATACTCATCCTAGCAAACAGTATGCTTTCCAAGCAGTTAAAATGTAATGTGGCAAAACTTAAATACATCATTTAAAATCAAAATCCTGCCTTAACAGATATAAAGTCCCTGATACAAGGAAACAAATTACCTGGAGTTAGTGGAGAGAGATACTAACACAGGAAGATTTCTTTTTGCATTTTCTCCAGTTATAGCTGGGGGAAGGAGGGCACCTTCCCACTCATTGTTTATAACACTTTTCTATTAACCTTTGAAAGTACCTTCTTCCTTCTTTCTTTTCTTGTGAAACAGAAACAAGAGCGGCTATCTTAGCCTAGAAAGATAATATGGGGTCTTAGGGAAAAATAAGAATGGTGTACATACTACCACGAGCAAGAAAACCATTTTCAAATGTGTAACTTGCCTCCATTATCAGTCTTTGACTTCCATAAGTACTATACAAATAGCTGTGAACATGCCATTATTAGACCCCTATCATGAAAGTAAAAAAGATGTCCACTGTTTCTAGTGAATCCAGCTTAATCCTGTAACTCTGGCTTTTCTGAAATCCAGAAATGAACAAGAATAGCGAGCATAACATCAATTCACGTGATACTCTAGCATATCTTAATAATTAATAATATGACTATTTAAATTGAAATCTCTACCTTATAATCCAAGGCTGAGAGTTTTTCCAATCTTTTGTTTACATCAGGAGAATCCATCTTCTTGGTAAACTGAATAAAACATAGTTTGTTTTGTGCCAAAAATGATAAGATGATAAAGCTGTCTGTGAGAAGAGCTTAAAAAAAAATTTTGATATCAAATACTAAAATAATGATGAATAGATTTTTCCACTGAAATATTACAAAAACCTATTTTCGGAACATAAATATTAACTGAAATAACTAAAGTCCCTAAATATCATTATGACACTTTATAAGGACATTAAAGATATTGAGAATAAAAAAATAATCATCAATCTAATCATGCATAGATTTGATACTTTTCCTTCTTTTCTGAAACCATTTCAATATATACAGATGTTTGGGGACAACCACCAAATAAGATGTATTTGGAACTAGGGCTTAAAAAGCATAAAATAAGGACCATAATATTCCTGAATATAAAGATTAAAATGTTTACTTTTACTTATACTTAGCCTTTAATCCTCTGTTTATATAATATAAACCATCTGAGAATAAATTAGATTTATTAAAGGCTACAGATCAGTGTTCTCCACCAATGTTTTTTTATTTTAAAATTTTTCATCAATAAACCTTTTTAACAAGGTGAATGAAATGAAGCATATTATTCCCAATATGTGCATTATATAAATTAATATTTAATAAGGAAGATTAGCAAAAAATTTCTACAGCTTTATTTCTAAAGCATATGAGTAGGTAGATAATTTTTATGGGTTATATAAAAGGCTATTAATATTATATAAAAGTATTGTTAAAAATAATTGAGAAATGTTTTATGTTATTCCTAGCATAAAGAAATTATTGAATGTTTTATATATTTTCTTTACTTCTACACCTCTCATTGTGCAAACAGTGACCAATGGTAGATCTACACAATTACAGGAGAATCTGGAGAACTGCCAAGAAATTATATTGTTATGGTCTCATGAGAATGTATTATTTCAGGTATAAATAAAAGATACAAGTAAAAAAAAATCTGAGAGACACGAATAGTATTAGAAGTCTCCTTTTAATTCTTACAAAGGTGCATCGATATGATAAAATCATTACAGCCACTATTTTATTGTGGTATCAATGAAGGGGTCAATTATTAGACATATGAAAATGGAGTCTCTTCTATAAGGAAGTTTCCTGAGCACCATACTTCTACGAGGAAGAAGAAATGGCACACTTACAATCCTACCCCCAGCTTATTATTATCAGTACTGTTGCTAATTATAGCCATCCTACAGAATGTTTTTCTTTAAGATGATGAAATTGGGTCTGATTTATTCAGAGGTGGCTAGTGAGAGCACTGAGGAGAAGGAACGTTTCTGAATTTTCACCTCTGTCCTTTCTAATCGACCATACTTTCCTTTGATTAATCAAGATACTGACAATTTTCAGTCTCTAACGATAATGCAATCTGTTTTCTAGATCTTTTACTGTGAATAAAAGTATATAATCTTAAAACTTCAGGAGTCAGCATAGTATAGTGGAAAGAAAATGGGTTGTACAGCTAGAACCTGGGTTCAAATCTCAGCTCAGTAATTTTTGAGCTGTTCCTTAGTATCTCATTTGTGGGCATGTTCTATAGTATCTCAGCTGTAATTTCCTTTTCTATAAAGCAGAAATAAGTACATCTTATAAAAGACAGATTTTTGAATTAAAATAGGTAGGTTGGTACAGCATAGAGCCTTTTAGGGCTCAATAAATGTCAGTATCCTACCTTTTCAATAGCTGGTTTAAAATCTTATAATCTTATAATTGCTTTGGAGCAATTATATACTACTGTGGCATCACTAAATAGGTTCCAGATTTGTGTAGTATATTTGGCAATGATTTTTGATATTTAGAAATACTGCCCAATCACTATGTTGTACATCTGAAACTAATATAATATTGTATGTCAACTATAATTTTTTTAAAAAGAAAGAAATATTGCCCAAACTCTGTCAAAAGTTAATATTCATAGACTTTGGTAACAAAGAATGTTCCTAAGAAGCAAAAGACAATTTATTTTTTTTACTGGTGGCTGTGTTAACACATTTGGGTTATTTATTCAAAATCTGAAAATGAAAAATATTTGAAATGTCAACAATAGGGAACTAATTTTGAAGGAACACACCAAAAAAATGCCTATTTCAAAAATATGTTCACATTTTTTAAGGAAAAAAGTAAAAAATATTCAGAATATGAGCCTAACACATGACCAAAACTTTGATATTAAATATTAGTCAAAACTTGTATTTGTCCCAAGGGCTGTAACTACGCTATTACAAGCAATTACTTGTGTTTGCAAGTCCCCAGTGGTAATAATTAGTCTACCTGTTGACACACTATTTCTTCTGTCCCACTGTTAATCTAAGCAATTGATTTGCACATAGTGGTAATTACCATCACTGATGGAGTCTGAGATGAGCTTCCCCACCAGGCTCCTGTCAATCATCACTTTCTCCAGCTGCGGCCCAGAAAGGCTTAGGGACACCAGCACACCTGAACCAAAGAGGAGCTAAAACCAGGTAAAGGGGGAGAGAGGGAGGAAGATATACTGAGGATTAGAATCTTTTAAAAATCTCTCCAAATATTTAACTTATACATATATTTACAAATGCACATATACCATGAAGTTATAGTTTTTCTTCATCAAAAACAATCACTGACATTCCAAGTAAAAAGATATACAGGTGGTTAAATGATGCAACACAACAGGTATATTGATTAAATCTATGCAGAAATCTAATTTAATCCATGTTTATTAGAAGTCTAATCTTCTAAATACTTAGACAGTACCCATGCAGAAATAACTACTTTTCATTGTGTTCTGAAATGTAATATAGTCTATTAATATATTTTGAAAGAGTACTATTTATATCAGAAATTAAAAGATTTCTTGAGGTTTGAATAGTTTATGCTGTACATTATAGAAAAAAATGCCACCATTATAATATAAAGAACAAATGTTAATGATTTATTTGGAATTTAAACCCCATTTCTACAAATAAAGATCCTGTCCATCTAAAATGTTAAATACATTAAATCAAGGCAATTAAAGTAAAATGTTAAATTTTAAAATTCATAAATAAATACCAGAAACAATTTCTCAAGAAGAGATGAAGAAATAAAAAAGTACATGGGCTTTATCAAAATCAGTGCTCACCCAACCACCCAACAAAAGATGACTGAATATTGCCATTATGATTTCATACTACTCTTTTCCATTTGTGGCAGCATAATTCATTCATCTCCAAATGTTTAAAACTTCTGAAAGGGCTATGCATATGTGTATGCTTATCTATGAGAATATGAAATATCAACATTGGAAGAAATTGTTTCACCTTCAAGGCAACAGACTCAAAGCAGATGAATCATGGAAAAGCATATGGTATAAGAGAAAAAAAAAAACCAATTGTCAGTAAACTTATCATGAACATGCCAGCCAAACCCAAAGACAACTATGATTTTAAACAAAACAGGGAATTTCTCCACCTATTCAGGCATCATGTCCCAGCTAGAGAGGATGATTCCGTGTCAAAACATATTGGGACACATGTGAAAGATGAGCGGCATGAGATGATGGTAACACAGAGACCACTACTCCTCCACTGCCTAATATATTTCAGACACATAAATCAGAAAAGAAACTGAAGGTCCCTTTGTACTTGTTAGAATCCTTGTCCTAGTCACCATAAAGCTTCCTCTTAAGTCTTGAGAACGACGTGACTTAATAGACTATACATTTCATGTTAATGTTCCTAAAGGAGGAGGAAGGGGCAGGACTTCATCATCTTTATTGGTTTAGGAGAAAGTACGTTTGTTCCAAGAATTTCAAATTACTTTCTTTACTGAATTACATCAAGCCTTGTACTATACTTTCATTGGAAACATTGATATTTCCCTTTTGGAGAATTTCCCCATTAAGAATATAGCATGTGGTCTTCACTTCCTAAATTCTCCTTTCTCAGGAAGGTAATTTTAGGGTCATCTTTCAAATTTAGTTCTCCTCCTTGTAATTGCTTTTTCTTCCCTTCTGCATTTATTCAAAACATCTCAAAAATAAATAGAAAAGATCAATTTCAATCTACTAAAACTTTACAACTATACTCTTGAGCACCTCTTAATTATCCAGAGACTACCACCTCTTTATGGATACTGGCTAGGCCACTTTTATCTTTATATCTTCAGTGTCTAGAAAAATGCTAGACACACAGTAGGTGCTAACTTAATGTTGACAGAAAGAATAATTAACTCATCACAAGATCAGATAGTTCATAGTTAGAAGGAAACCTGCAGCATCCCTTCACGCATCTAATCCATGTGTGAATACTGCCAGTGACCAGGAACTCATTACCTTATGGAAAAGCTATTCCACCATTGGACAGTTCTAGTCAATTTAAAGATTATTTATTTTTCTTTTTTCTTTTTTTCATTCAACAAAAACTGAATGTTGATTATATATTTAAGTACTAAACTAATCTAGTGGCTCAAAGTGAATCAAATGTAATTCTTAAGTTAAATATAGGTTAACAGAGAGGTAGAGATACAAGTAAATAATGTAATAAAGTGCTGTTAATGGTCTTATTTTTATAGGAGTATATACTGGGTAAAATGGAGGGAGGGGTATTAAGAAGGAGGTGGCGACAATTAAGGTGAAGGCTAACACTGCCTTCTTAGAATCTCTATAGTATTCCCAGTTCTTCTGCAATAGCACTTTTTAAAAATATTTTTTAAAATAACAGTAGTTGAAAACATGGACTCTGAAATCGGAATCAGCACTGGCTCTACCTCTTATTAGCTGTGTGACCGTAGGGGAGTTACTTAACCTCTCTGTAACTTCATTTCCTCATTTGAACAGAGACTAAATAGTACCTACTTCATAGGATGAGGATTAAGTAACTCTTCACAGTGTTTAGAATAATACCTGGCACACAGTAAATGTTTGCAATTACTATTATTATTATTCAACCACTACTCATATAAAGTGTTCACACTATGCCATCTTTGAACACATTCTTCTCTTTATGTTTTCTATGTATGAAATTTCTATTTATGAAATTCTAAAAAAACACATTTATGGGATGGAGATGGTAAAAGTGAGAGTAGGTAAAAGAAGGAATTTAAGCTGGAAAGAATTTGAAAGGGATGTGTCAATGTGCAGCAGGAAAGTATGCATACATCAACAGATAACTAATCTACACGTGGAGATAGGGGCAGTGATTTGAGGACTATGGATCCTGCCAAGTGAGCTTGGGCATTCCTTCATAATCTTTCTCAAAGGTCAGGTTCAGCCACTTATTCATACATTCATTCATTTATTTCACAAATAGTAATTTGTATGAGTCAGGCCCTATTCTAGGTGCTGAAGATATAGCAGTGAACGAAACAGCCAATGAGCTTGCCTTTACTCCCCTAAGGGAACTTGCATTTGAGTGTGAGCACAGGCAATAAACAAATAGTTTTAATATGTCAGATAGCAATAAGAAGTAGAGAGAAAAATAAAGCCTAGTAAGAATGGAGATTTCAGGAAGATGCTGTTTTAAGTAGGATTACTAATAAAGAAATAAAAAGGCCTCTCTAAGGAGATGACATTTGAGTACAGATGCAAATAAAGTGAAGAAACTAGCTTTGATTACCTGGGGGAAAAGAAGTTTGAGGCAGAGAAGAGCAAATGGAAAAACTCCAAGCTCAGAATGTGCCTGGGATGACTAAAGAAAGCTAGGCTAATATAGCTGGAGGGAAGTGAGAGAAAGATTCATAGAGAACAAAATCAGAGTGATAGTCAGGGGCCAGGTCAGGTGGGACCTTTTTGGATGAGAAGCCATTGCGTTTTAAGCAGTAGAGAATTATAATCTGTGTTTTAAAGGAGGAATCAGGGCAAGAGTAGAAGCAAGGAGACCATTAGGAGGCTACTGCAGTGGTCTAAATGAGAAATGATGATGGCCTGGACTACAATGGCAATGCTAAAGTAAATTATATGTTGACAGATTTGAGATTATATATATATATATATAT